AGATTTTAATCTAACAGAGAACAAGTATCATCATCATCATCTTTCATATCTCTGAAAGCAGCAGTGTGCACTGTATCTTTATGTTTGATTCTCGCAGGCACTGTGAGTGCATCTCTCCTGCCCTGTATCCGCATTGGAGTTTGCAGTGCAGTATCACACACTTCATCTCTCAGTGAAAGAGCCCCTTTAGGATGAAGCCTGGTGAAAACCTCAGGGTTACACTCTCCATCTGAACTGCTTTAGAGATCAACCCAGCTGAATTCTAATTTAGAGAAAAAAGCTTCCCCTGCTGCATTTGCACTGTGCACATTTAGGGAAGTTTGTAAGAGTTGATCTTGAAGTGTCATTTAGGCTGATTGTTCTGTTTTTATGAAAATTTTGCCTGTGAGAGCCCTTGAACACACACTAGTGAGGAAAGAGGTGAATAGAAGTGGACCACAGAATTCTGAATCCATGTTGTATCATGTATCAGGAGGCTTTGTAATAAATGTACTGAACAGCTCTATCCAAGCCTCTTCACAGTTCAAATTTGAATTTCAATAGTGTGGTGCCCATCTTGAATCATGTGTCCATCAAAAAAATAAGGTCAGGTGGCCCAGAACTACCAATCACTTCCTTTTTGGTTGGAAATGCTTGTAAGATGGCTCTTATTTTTAGTATCTGATGTTGGAGATTGGAACTGGAGTGAGTGGGGGGATGGAGGTCCTTGCAAGAAGGATCAGACTGAGTGACAGTGCTGTTCCATCCCTGAATAAGGACCCGGTGGTGGACAGCTGGCACACAGTCCTGCAGAGCTGCCAGCTCAGCAGTGTCTGAGTCAACACCAATGCTGAGGTGTTCCCCTCCTGTACCTTTTTATTAAGCACAATTCTTTGAACAGCAGTAATTTCAGCAAATCTAGGAGGATTTGGGAACTTTCCCCTTCCCTGCCCTTTGGCTTAAGGCTGCAGTTACCTGAAAACTGAAAAGACCATCATAAAAACCCCAAATCCAGCCGTCTGTGACAGGTCACCTGTCTGTCTGTAAGGAGTTGGCTGTGTGTGAGGGGGACACGGCCTGTGGTCTGGGCAGGCAGCAGGAGGGGGCTGGGAGGGCTCATGGTCGTGGGTAGTGGCAGCTCCTGAGCTGTCAGGCTCATTAGGGAAGTGCTGCTAATTTGGGCAGGCAGGCGCTGCCAGGCTGCATTGTTGGGGTTAAGCAGTGTGAATAGAGCCCGTAAGCAAAGCTGCTGGGATCTGCTTTGTGCTCCCTTTGGATGGCTGGCCTCTGCTCTTGGCTTCTTTTCCAGTTCCAAGTGGCCACGTGGAGTTCTGGCACTGTGAGTGCTGTCTGTAGATTAGTTATAGATTGCAGAAGAAATCAAACTTGTGCCGAGAGGAGTTACCCTGCTCCTCTTCTCAGCTCTATTTTTGCATACGTACATTTAGCCAGAGTGTCAGTTCACTACTTCATGTGACTTAATTAGAAATGGATTAAGCCCTCTCTCTTTAAAACCCCCTTTGAACTGCTATAGGTATTTTCCTTATCATCCCTGCTCACATGTGCTAAGCACTAGCTATATAGCAATTAAAGTTTGTGTTTCTTTTCTACTGTCAAAAGATAACCTTTCTCCCCTTCCCTCAGCCACAGTCCTGCAGGTGGGTTTGGAGGTCTGACAGTCTTTGCCTTCCAAATCCACTGCAGTCCCCAGGAGAGCTGGAGGAGAGCTGGGAGGTGATGGGCTGACCCTTGGGGCAGGGAAGAGGGGGCTCAGGGTGGGCGAAGCTGCCCAGTGCAGCCTGGCTGGGTGGGCTGTGCTGGCTCCATGTGTGCCCAGCTGGAGCAGTTCCTCCTGGGATTACTGGAAAAGGTTGAGCAAGGAGAAGAGATTGTTTTCATCTCATAAAGGCAACAACCAGATTGTCTCAGTGCTGTCTGTCCCCGGCGTGCGTCAGAACATACTGTTAATTTGGGAGTTGGAACCAGTGGAGGATTTGCTGATTCTCTACCATGTGTTTGCCTTTGTGACTCCAGTTTCTCTCTCATCCTTTGGGGGTGTTTTTCCCTGAGATCTTCAGTCTTACTAAAACTTACTTTTGTTTCTGCCAGAGAAAATGCTGAAATGAGTAATTTTCTGGTAATCATTTTCTACATTTTCACCCGATTGATCTGATTATGTTAAGGCTGAGTCAAATACTCCATTAAGAGTTTCAGATGCTATCAGAGCCGAAGCAGGAAGGTTTCCCAGGAGATTGACTGTGTGTGCTTGTGTGGAACAGACCTGGTGGGGAATTGGCCTGCACAGTCACCTGGCAGCTCCAGCACTTCTGTCACACCCAGGTCTGCCCTCCCCTCCAGAAACGAGGGGAATTCATGTCTCTGCCTGTTCATGTGCAGGGGGATCTATTTAATGCAGTGCCCCATTTTAGAAAGTAAAGTAGTGTTTTTCCAAGGGTGGAAAAATGTATGCTGTGTGGGAGGGAATCCTTCCTGCAAACAAGCACTGAATTTCCTCATCTTACTTTGCTAGGGATGTCTGTTAGCATAAGGCTGGAGGGGACTTTTGAAATGATTCTGGGAAGCTTTGACTCAGGAAAGGAGAATGATTCATATTATTACTGTTATTTATTAAGGAGAACAGACCATTGAATCTGACCTTTTACTTATCCTTCTCTTTGAAAACTTAAAGCACTTATGCAGTGACCCCAGAAGAGTTTGTGGGTTTGAACCCAAGGTCTTTCAGCATAAAAGCATAAATCCCAACTGTGGGAGCTAGCCTGCAATCATGTTAATAACATAAGGTAGTCAAAAGGTGTACATTAGAAAGAAATTTTGAAGTTTCAGCTCAACATAATACTAAGAACTGTGACTTACATTTGATTTTGTATTATGCTACAGTGCAGAAAAGATCAGTGCAACCTAAACTATATTTTAATCATAATTTGGCAAGAGAATTTAAACGAAGGAAAAATCAAAACTTGACTCAGTGTGTGTCACAACTGTAATTTCATTCTTGCACTTCTGGAGGTAATACAACTTAGTTGTTTAGGTAATTCCCCAGGTCAGTTCTTTAAAGAATCAATCAAACAAGATTCTGTCCATTTTATGAAGGTGGAAAGGCACCTGACCATGGCCACACGCTCTTGTCTTTTCCACTTATAGTATCCATCTTCATTATCCTTCTGAAAAATCCTGTTAGCAGTTTCCTCATATCTGAGCTACTGGCTTGAATTTTGCTCGTAGTGTCTGTTAAAGTGCAGCAGCTTCATCTCAGCAGAGATTGAGGAGCCATTCAAAGACTCTTCTGGTGAGGAAAAATGTACAGAAAGGGCAAAGTCCGTTGTCACAGCAAGTATAGAAGGTTGAATTTAAATCTGTATTTTACTGCACTGGGGAAGGCAGAAGTCCTCAGCTTCCAGAACTGTGAAGCAAACATTTCTGACCAACTCAACACCTATCCCAGAAAGATTTCCTTATAGGCTCAAGAAAACAGATTTTTGTCAGTAGCTGCAATAAACACATTGTGCAAAGTTAAGAAGTCTCCAGGGCTTTGGATTATCAACAGAAATCTTAATTATGTTCAACCTCAGATAAGAATTTATCAGTAATTACAGACATTTAGTTGACAGTCCTCTAAGATCACCAAAATCATTTCTTGGTTCATTCCTATTAATGCAGTTGAAAGTTTTCTTTGCTTAAAGGTCCAAAGTAATGTCAGCCACATGGCAGTGGAAGAGATGTGATAAGGCATCAAAAATCCATCAGTGGTTTCTTCATTAAGCTGCAAAATAAACTCATTGAACTCCTGTGGTCAGTGTATGGCTGGAATGAACTTATCCCATGTCCTGCCAGAGAATCTGAGTAACTGCTCTGGTAGAAATGAGATCTCTGTTAGGATTGTGAGAACCTCCCAAAACTGAACTCAAATGTGGGCTGTGCACTCAGGCCTTGGGGTCTGCGGGTGGAATTCTGAGGAGAGGCTGTGAAGAACAAACACATGTCAAACATGGGGTACAGGCTGTGAAGAACAAACACATGTCAAACATGGGGTACAGGCTGTGAAGAACAAACACATGTCAAACATGGGCTTGGATTTTGTAGCTCCCTTGTGTTGCCAGAATTAAACACGAGACACAGTTTGTGGCTGTTGTGTCATTTCTGAGTGCAGTGTATGATGTACAGATCATATATTGCAGCAAAATGTGGGCATCTGGAGTTACCCTACCAAGTGACCCGCCTCCTGTCCTTGGTTTGATCCCTGGTGTTCTCCTTGGCTGTCCTGAGCTCCTTCTCCAGATTAGCAATCTCTGTATAAAGAAAATGAGCATCAAGATCATTCCCAGCAAGACACATCCTCAAGATGAGACTAAAGGCTCCATTTCATGGGAAGATCTGGAGAGTCCACATGCTAAAATCCCCAGCCCAGGCAGTACATCCAGCCCAGGCAGATCATTATTAAGGAGTGTGGTTAAAAACTATTTCCCTGGGAGTGATTTTGCTGCTCGGGCAAATCTCTCCCAGGTGCAGTCCATTAGGAAGGCCAGACCACTTCCTATAAACAAGCAAGCAAGAATGATCCAAAGAATAGCAGGGATGTGTTGCCTTGCCAGCTGGGAAAGTCCGAGAGGAGACTGCAGATTTTAGTGGAGGTAGAATTTGGGTGGAAAAAATCCATAGCCTATAATGGGATTTTTGAAAAGAACTGTTTATTCTGTACAAAATGGTCAACTCAGTAGAACTGGTAGTTTTAATTAACAAGCAGAAGTACCCAAGGAAAAACTCAAGCAACCTAACCTGGTTATTGAATTGAATGCTGCCCTCTTTTTGGGTAGTACAGGTGGGACTGATAAAAGAGATTTAAGTCACCTGCTGTGCACCATGATTTGCTTTGCCATGGCCAATTTGAACTGCAGCAGCCAACACTGCTTGTTCAGGTTGGGCAACTCCAGCATTTGCAATCTGAGCTGCAGCTCCCTTTTTTTTTTTTTTTTTTTTTTTTTTTTTTTTTTGAAGATGATCAAAAGAGTCCAAATTACAGGGACCTTCCTCACCTGAGAGGCAGAGAGTTAGGTAAGTAGATCTTTTTGCAAATTCTCTTAAGAACATCCTCCAGCTTCAGCCTGGCAATACAACACTGATATGTTCCTCTTCTCTCCTAGGAATGAGAATTCAAGATCCAGCAAGAAGGTAAGCTGTATACTGAGTTATAACAAATTCACATCCATTCCAAAAAGATTTTTTTCCTAGAAATCCTTTGAATATGAAATTCAAATACTAATTGAAGTCAGTTGTCTTGGAAAATTTTCTGGTCCTTTTTTAATTTTTTTCCCCCTGTTCATGTAGAATGTGGTAATTTATTCTTTTGTTTCCCTGGCTAAGGGGAGTTCAGTGTGTAGTTTTGCTTTACCCCACTAGTTTGAGTGATTCATTTTGCCTTCCAGAATGATTACATGTCCATCAATCCAACCGCAACCCCTTTTTGAAAACTCCTTGCTGCTGTTGTATCTAGTGAATAAATGGCAGCCAGACTATCTCAAATGTATTGTTTCTGGGGCACAGTGAAATGATTGCAGGGATTATGGCTGGCTGTAGCTAGAACTGAGAGCAAATAAACCAAACAAACTTCCCATTGCCCACCCCCTCCCTGAAGCCTCTGGGCAGTGTGTATAACCAGTGTTTCACCTTTTCCTGCAGCATCCAGAGGAGCCTGTGGAAGCACCACCTGGAAGAGCTCCTCCCTGGTTTCCACCTGCAGCCTCACGTGCCTTTGGGCTTCCTCCTGCCCCTCAGTCTGCAGGATGTTCAGCACTCTCCCCTCTGGGTTTGGCTCCCCCACGGATTCCTCCTGGATCCTGGAAGGGGTGATCAGCTGTGAAGGAAAAGGACCCGACTGGAGCAGAATACAGTTTGAAGAGTCTCCCACATGTTGCTAAATCCTGGGAGCCTCCCTTCAGGATCAGTGGTTGCTCAGATGCTTCGCTGGCCAGGGCTGGCAGTGCTCTGGTGGGCAGAGCAGCTCTCAGGTGGCCTCCTTGGCTCTCGTTTGCCTCAGGTTGTCTTCACTTCTCAGAGCTGTCTTTCCTCCTCAGCTCCTCTTCTTCCTCTCTTACTCTTACACTCAACAATGGGTGTTGCTCTTCAAGTGCAAATACACATCATTTAAATCATGGTTGCTCTGGCTCCACCTTCCACTCTTTGAGTATTACATATCACTTTATTTTATATCAAACCATATCACATTTCTTTTTGGGGTCACAGAAGCATGTTTGACGTGTTTAAGTTGCCACTGTGATGTTCTTCTCCAAACAGAATTCAAACCATTATGTTGCAGTCTGTACCAGAGCCTCTCTAGCAGCTGTGTTTATACAGCTCCTAGTAAAATGGGTCCCTGATTAGGATTTTTGAATAGCTCATTCACTGAAAAAATGGTGTTTTGAACCAGCTAAAGCTATTTAAAAAATTGGGATAATATATGATTAAAAGTTTTGGTTTGAGGGAATGTCAGTGGCAACACCCTGCCAAATTTTAGGCCCAAAACATCATCACCATTAGTATCACAAAGATTAAGTTACTGGAATTTAACTGGGCAAGAAGTGCTTTTCTTTTGCTTGTTTAAAAAAGTAGCTGAAAAATTTCGTGCTGTGGACACTGGCACTGTCCAAAACCAGTAAGTGCACGTTAAGGCAGGAAACACAAGTGCTGCTCCTGCTCCATTAAACTGGAACACAGGATTAAAGGACCAAAGCTACTTCGACTGACAGAGTCCATATTTAAATGTTTTCTAGATCGTAAACTAAGGGCAAAGATTTATAAGTTTGTGTCGTGACCCATAAATCCAGATCTCCTCTTGTCCTTTGACTCTAGACAAATGGCTTGTAGAGGAATTTGTAGTGGTTTGGATAAATCTAGGTTTCAGCAGTCAGACATGTAAGAAACATCTGTAATTGTCTGAGGAATTTGGCAGACAATCTGGTACTTAAATCACATTTTCCCCTTTGAAAGTTGGAAATGTCCATGTATAAATCAGACACACAAGCCACATACCTCTGCACTTGTGGAATTAGACAAGGTATCAACCCTCTGTTACCTTTGCAAATCCTACTGCAAGGTAAGAGCAAGTTGATACCTTGCTGTAGTAAAAGAGACCAGCTTAAGGTTCTTTAAAACTGTTTACCTTTTTTGAGGCCCAGAATAAAATCTTAACAGCTTTAAGGGGAGTTGCTGTAAAATGGCAGGGCTACTTTAGTGTTCAGAATTTGCCACTTAGCCAGAAGACTAAGACTGAAATCAAAAGGTTCTTTGAGTAAAATTATACAAACCTTCCTTTCCAGGCAGAATTGCTCAGTTACGTGCAGAGTTGTCACATGCTGGGCCTCTGAGTACATTTAGCATGCAGTTGTGCAGAGTAGTCTGTCTAGAATCATCTCATCCTGTAATGAGATCATGTGAATTCAAAGCATATTAAACTTAATCCTAGTTCCCAGGATTATACCCTGCAAATTTAAAATTGCAGTGTATAAGAAAGGCATAATGTTCCTGACTGCTAATGATAAAAAATGAGGCCCAGCTCACTGTGAACCAGCTTTGGTTTTGCCACTGAAAGCAGAATTTGGTAAAGGGACTCCAGTGAGAGATTCAAGCTGATGCCTGGTGACCTTTGTCAAGCAGAACAAATGATTGCTATGTGTGCTAGAACTGTGTTAGTGCTGGATGCTTCTGGTACAGCCTGAGCAAACAGAGTTTAAAAGTCTGGCTGTCTATCAGCAAACTTTGCCTTTTGCTCGAGTCTCCAAATGCTGTAACGTGAACCCTCCAGGCAGGAATTTGAGGCTCTGCTTTATTTGATGCCAGGTCCTTTAATAGTTTCAGAAAGTGACTTTGCTTGTAGTAGAAAAGCATGATGAAAACAGACATGATCCTGAATAATGTGTTAAAATCAATTCCCGTGTGTCAGATTCCTGCAGAGCATGTCCTTTGGTGGGCACAGGAATTGTCTGAGCAACCGAGGGAGAGGCTGTCCCACAGATGCTGCATGAAGGCTGCACCTCTGTGCATTCCAGCTCAGGGATGATAAAGCAGAGCTACCAACTATTTAAGCTTAGCCCAGCTTGTAGTGGACAAAGAGCTAAAATTAGACAAGAAAAACCCCCACAAAAAAAAAGAAGAGCCAAAATTTGCAACTAGTCATTATCTTTTTGTATTAATAACCTCTAAGAGCTAAAGGCTACGTAATTCTGACCTTGACCACCAAAATGCTGTAAGTTTGCTGTGGAAGTACCCCTGGTAGCTTTAAGGTTGAGGATGTACTAGAGTTCTTGGCAGCATTCAGTGACCTGTCTGGTGGGATGGCAGGCCCTTCCATGTTCAGCTCCCTGTTTCACCCTAAAGACAAGTGGAGTTGGTTGTCAATAGTCCTTCTGAGGCAGAGGTTTTTACTGTGCCTGACTGAGCAGCATCAACTAAAGGGAATGAAGGTGGAAGAATTGTGTCCCATGAAGCCATTTCTGGAACAAAAAATACCTGCCCTGGCTCCAGTATGTCACTACTGTTGCACTGTGGAAAACAGACTTACTGTTTCCTTGCAACACTTTCTGTCACCTCTTTTACTCCAGCTTTCCTCTCTGACCTCTCTACTTTTGCCTTGCTGCTCTCTCTTCTACATCCAGTCTCTCTCTCCGTTTTCACTCACTGTTCCTTTACACACCTAATCCAAGGCAATCAGTTCTAAGTGGGGTTTTTTCCTTTGCTCCCTGGGAAACATCTACATCCTTTCTGTTGCCTTCCCAGGGTGTGTTTTGTGCCAGCTCTGGCAGGTCTCAGCCAGCTGCAAATTTCCCTTCTCCTCCAGCGGGTAAGAAGTTGATGGCAACAAGTGTGTGAGCCTGCAGGTCTCAGCTGAGCAACTCCCCTTTGGGGTGTTCCTGGTGGCTGCTGCCACACCCACCACAGCAGGGCCCAGCTTCTCTGGCCATGGTGGGGGTGGCAGGGAGTGTTGGCACAGAAGGGGTACAGCAACCTGGCATCTTCCACAGCTGCAGTTTTCTGCCCCTTGAAGAATACAGGTTTCCTTTTCAGGAAGACCAGCCTGTTTGGAAGATATTTTTTGCATCTAATTACAGTGGTTCTCTTGCAAGCCTCTCTGAAGCACTTCAGGAAGCTGCAGTGAGTTGGAGCTGATTGGCAGGTGTCAGACACATCAGCAGTGTTTTTCTTAGGCTGAATTGCCTGACACAGCTCTCTGGAATGTAGCAGGAGGCAGTGCAGTATTTTCATTTAATTGCTCATGGAGATAGCTGCAGGATTGTGGTGTCAGAAAATATTGCTAAATCTCAGGGGATTTCTTGGCATTTTGTTGCCACAATAGAGTCATAGTTGTCAAAGTGGCTTAGTACAACCACAGAATATATGTGCACTTATTTATGCAGCCTGGAAATGGGGTGTAATAATAAAATACTCTATTTACATTTCTGCGACTTGCATTCATTTGAGTCATCTAATGCTACTTTTGTCCTTTGCTGTATTGTTTAAATGCATATTTCTTATATTTGAAATTTATGTAGATGTTAAGAAGAATTATATGCTGTCAGTCTGGTCACATTTTGCAACCAGTCTGAAACATGATCCTACTAGTGGTTTTGTGTCTCTGTGCTGTCTTTATTACCTAGGCATTTCAGTTTTGGAAATCCATATTTATAAGGAATTTGCTCCACAGTAGAACTGCCATCACATTGTTAATACTGAGATGACAAGCAGCCTGAAAATGAGGTGTCGAGCAAACATGAGCAGTTTCCACTCGAGTTTTTTGGACTGTCCTGAAGCCCAGCGAGTCCAGGTTGTGGAGCATTTGCAAAGTAAGATTAATGCTGTGCAGAACTGCTGCTGAGTTACAGGAAGGCAGTCACCTGAGACCAAAAAATTGAAGTTCCTGTGTCTCCAGCTCTCCCCTGGCAGGTCAAAAGCTTGCTTGCCTTCAGGATGTAAAGGTATCTGCTTTGCTGTGTGTCACAGTTGAAATCTCCTTGTTCAGGGTTATGTTCACTATATGCAAAATATTGTCCTGCAGAAGGGGTGGGTTTTGTCTGTAGAAATTATCTTAGTTGCACAGGTGTAAAAAATACCTTCTCTGTATTGTGTTTTTGGAGATCCTTTTCTCACACACTGTTTGTGTCTATTCCTTTTGTCTCCAGTGAGATGTTTCAGCTAAAGCATTATGATTAAGTCAGGAGAGCATCCAGCCTGTAAGCAGCATGAAGAATGCTCCAATTACCTCCTTACCTGTGTCTGTGGGGTTAGACCATGAACTCTTTAGCTGGAAACATCCCTGGCAGGTTGCTCACGTGCACAGTTGTTCTGGCCCAAGCAGAATTGCTTACAGAAGTAAAAAATTCAGTGTGATCTTGCAGCGCTACTTAACAAAGTCATAGGCACACTGGTCATGGTAGAGTGGTACTGGAAGAGCTTTCTTGATGCTTATCTGTGCTTTTACTCCTTCCATTTGTCATGACCTTGCTGCCTCTCACTTCTGGCTTTATTTTGTAGCAGGAGCTTTGTTTCTCTGTTATGATACATTTGCAAATTCACTGCTTTTTCCCCCACGTTTAAGCTGGAGAGAGATTTTTAGTATGTCTTGCAGAACAGATCTGAAATCCAAGCTAATCAAACTAATCTGATAAAATAGGTTTTAGAATTAATCTAACACCAATCTGCTGCTCTGTGAAAAAGCATACATAAGCAGTATTTATTGTCTGTAGCCACAAGAGGGGGGGGGAAGCCTAAATGCATTCAGCTTCTGCAGAAGCAAGGAATGTCCTTAGAACAGTGAACATGATAATCACATTGTTAGCCTGAACTTGCTAGTAAAGGTTAGTGCACAGACCCAGCTGCTCTGAGAAAGGGAAAACTGAGCTGAAAATCATCCCTGGAAACCTGTCGGATTTGTAAAGGGAACAAGGAGAAGAGGAGATAAAATACGATTTTGGGGCTGTAATGAAAGATGGCTTTGGAGGACGAGGGTGTGTGCAGGGAGCCTGAGGGAGGAAGGCGAAGGTGGAAAATGCTGAACCCTGACAGGTCACTGGGCTGTGCTGAACGGTCTGACAGCACCTTCTCACCAGCTCCAGCAACAGCCAGGCTGTCCAT